TGTGGGGAGCAGTCATTGCTGCGATCGAGTTACCCTCCTTTCTCGGATCACTTTCCGTGTGATCTGTTCGCGAGTTCTGTTCCTGTGAATAGTAAGGCAGCACAACCTGCAGTCATCGAACCAAACGCATTGAGACGTGAAACGGCCGGATGGTGGGGAACGTGGAAATATTCTTGTTTGTGGCAGACGTGGAAGGAATGCTTTTTAAAACCCCCAACATCTTGATGTTGAATGAAATATGGGTAATTTTTCTTTGCGGGGGGATCAATAGAATAACTATTTCCAAAATGACTTTCTATTGACTGAAAGGTCAAAAATGCCGTGTGCATTGATCCTGAGTCCATAATCGCTTTGGGTTTGGTAAGTTAACTCCTCTCATAGTCGGCTGCAAAGAAAACCAGTTCATCATTTAAACGAACTATTTTTAAAGCACCTGAGGCCCCGGCGGCCGCCCCGCGGGCGGGGGTCTCACGGGCCTCTCTCGGCAGGAGGTGGACCTGTACCGAGCCAACAGCCAGGACAAGCTGGGCCTCACCGTGTGCTACCGCACGGACGACGAGGACGACCTGGGCATCTATATCAGCGAGGTAGGAGGGCAGCTCTTCACAGCGGCCACATCGGGACCAAGAGAGGGGGGTTTTCTTCCTTTTATGTGGTAACTAAGCCTAACTCTGCCTCACTGAGTCCCTTGGAAAGACACAGACACACTTCTCTGTCCCTTTCATCACACCCCATGGAGCCCCATCTTTCCTGGGGTTATGTTCTAATGTCGGCACAGATGGCGACATTGCCCCGGGGAAGCCTGCAGACCAGCCATAAGATGGTTGTGTGTGCTCCACCCCCAGGGAGCGGCCGACGCTCATTTCCAGTCTCATGTTCTGGGCCGGTGGGATCCCTCCCACTGCCACGTGTTTCTCTGTCTCTCTCCTTCCTTTTGGTGGAATGTGTGTAGTCGAAGTCCTAGAAGTGCATGGACTTCAGAGCAGGTAGGCAGTTGTCGTCTGATCTTCTAGAGAAGACTGCACAGCCAGTGACCCCAGCGCGATGCCGGGCGCTCACGTCTGCAAGCACGGAAACCGTTCTGTCGGGAACGGAACTTGTCTCGATGGGATGGACATGGGTGTGTCGGTCCGGCTCAGTAACCTTCCCTCCGAGTTCATGTTCTCCATCCACCACGCTCCAGTGGGCCCGTCGGCACTGCCATCGGGGTCTCTTTCCCAAAGTCAGTCCTCGTGTCTCAAGTATACTTCAGGGGGTTTTTGTTTTGTTTTGTGGGGGCTTTTGATTTGTTTTCAATATATTTTTATTGATTTCAGAGAGGA